CTCCAATTGATAATTTAGTTAGACTTAGTGAAGCTGGACTTATGGCAACAAGATATTCAGTTAGTGGCTACACACACACACACACACACATTATTAGTGCTTTAGTTTGTAATGTAGTGCAATTGTACACTAACCATTATCTGTTCATTTTATTAAAACACAATTTATTGATCATTTCTCAGTTTATAACATTTACTTATAATAGGTTATACGCTTTGGGTACCTAGAAATTGTAAATAATGGAAATGATAAAGTGTTTTTGAATTTGCTCTACCGGTCTTCAAGTGATACTTCCAATACTAAGATATATGGTAGGACTACTGCTTATCCAGGGTTGATACAGAGAGCTACGGATCAGATTAATGAAGCATTTCCTAATACTTTCTGCAGTACATCTCCTCCTACACAATTAATAATAGTAACTTGGATAGACTTTGCAAAAGCTGGCTCAAACCTAGTTAGTATATTAATTACTTAATACATGAAATACTGTTAAAAATAGCTAGCTACACTCTATTCACTTTATTTATTATTTTTAGGGCAGTAACTTCCAAGCAATAATTGCAACTAATGGAAGCAATACATTTGGTATTGCACTTTATGTCAATGTGAGCATTACATCAGCTACTACTGGAATAAGTTCGAACGTCAATAGTCATGTTGTACCAGCTGATCCTTCTTTCTTTCCATTTGGTGCTACTGTCACCAATGCCCCTGCTATGATGCTTAATAGCAACATACCAGGGACATATATATTTTCACTGAATCATATACCACCACCAGGTATGACTAATTGACTATAGTACATGTATCAACTGTTCCATATAACTTGTATATCTTTTAGATCCTTGCACTGAACCTAGCCCACCTGACTGCTCTGCTGTATGTAAAGCTAAACTTCTCAAAATGACATGTGAGGCTTTGAGGATTAATCATGAAAATCTACCAGCTCCTTGTCATAACTGAACATATTCCATGGTCCATTGTGTTTTATTATATTCTTTTTATGATTAGATTATTTTAAGTAGTGAATTAGTCAATTTTAACAGTAGAGACTAGAGATTATAGTTGTTATTATGCATTAATATTTTTGGCATGACTTATTTTCAATAATTATTTTTGCAACAATTGCATTTTAGTACTTATTGTGATTTTTTGTTAACTATTTGTAGCAAACTAATCCTCTTATTTTGGATTAATTGTTTTAAATTTTTAATTTCACAGTGATATAATTTGAATTCTGCAGGTTGTACCTTAAACTGTTCACAGAAACACTTCTGTGAACACATTCATAGACAAGAATATGAATAATGAATGTAGAAGATGAATAACAATAATGAATAGTTATGATTACTGATTATTATAAAGAAACAGGTTGTCTACATGTCCTTGTTCAGGCTCATATACTGATGACATATGCATATTAAACCAAAGGCGCCTTCATTTTAATATCAGGATCTGTGAATTAAGAACGAGCTAGTTTTTGTTAGCTAAAGATCATATTAAGAAGAGAAATGAAATGACTCCTTAACTTTGATAGCTAGTGTACATGAATACATACACACCTTTAATGATGTGTACTATCCAATATGTATTGACTATACTATCTACTGTCCTTATACCACTAAAATGATACTCAATACCTTGATTGACATCCTCAGGAGATTATACATGAACATCATTAATGGTCCAATATATCCTCAAAGCAATTTACGTTCTTAAATATTTGAGTTAATTGCTGTCTTTGTGTGATAAAGGATTGGTGAAGAATGACAAACATTGCCACTCCTAAAATTAGTGACAACTAAGAAATCATACCATTATCATTCATCATGTTACAAGCAGTATATGGTAATACAGTATGTACTAACACACATAACATTTTAACATTTTACTGTTGTAATGTGATCCCAACTGACAGGAATAGAATCTGTTCTAATTTTAGTAACACATTGCCTTGTTCAGTGAGCTGACTCATCATTACATCAGAACTCATGAATTATTCATTGATATATTGTCTATATAAATGCATGTTGTGTGATAATAATTTCCAGTGTTTGGGTGTCAACTAAACGAGACTTAACAAGTTAACAAGAGCGCTAACCCTCACTCTTGCTACCAGACTGGCATAGTAGCTTCATACATTTCTACAGATTATAGACAGTACATGTACCCACTCCATACATTGAGAATAGTATAAGCTATCATGTAATCAATGGACCTACAGTATCCGTATGATGTGATGAATGTGAAGGAAATAATGCAAGACTGCAATAAAAGAAGGCGTGGCAATAATAAACCAGTTATTTATTGCCACGCCTACATTTAAAATGGCTACTGGTCGTTCTCCTCTCTCTCTCCCTCCTCTTCCTTCTCCTCTCAAACTGGAAGGCTCTAATGGCAGCAGCGGGAGTAGCGGGTCGTCCTCAGAAGTAGCTCCTTTCATATCTAAAGTCTGGTCTATCGTCAATGATGAGTCCATACTTCATTTAGTAGCGTGGTCTGAGGTAGGTCAGTCTTGTACTGTATTCTCTGTATGATTATTATGATTAGTATTAATTTTATTAAAAGTATAACAATCATCATAATTTTAACTGTAATCATCATAAATTTTAATTTTTTGGCTTATTTAGTAATTTTATTGTTTAAGTGTCTCTATCTTTAGAGCGGAAAGACCTTCCTTGTTCTAGATGAGCCTCGTTTCTCAAAAGATGTTCTTCCAAAGTATTTCAAACACAACAACTTTGCAAGTTTTGTACGTCAGCTCAACCTGTGTAAGTACATGTATATGTATGAAGTCAGCCATTTTAATTTTATGTACTAAATTTAAATTAACGATTTAAGTGTGGTTATTAATCGTTATTAATGGTTGTTAATAGTTATTAATGGTTATTAGATGGATTTAGGAAAGTTGCTAAACCAGATCAAGGTGCTCTACTGAAGAGTAGTGGTGACAGTGTTGAGTTTTGGCACGCTAACTTTCGCCGGGATCATCCTGAACTCCTGAACCTTGTTCAGAGGAGGGTTAGTGGGTGTGGTTAGGGGTGTGGTTTAATCTTGGACTTTTTTAATAGCCGGTGTCTTCAAGAACAGGCGGAGATGATAAGAATGCGTGTTTATCTCAAGTTATTAATGATATTCATTCAGTTAAGGGGAATCAGACTAACATTGAAGGGATGATGAACGAACTGAAGAGGTATGGAAGAATAGATATTCATTATTATTATTATTATTATTATTATTATTATTACTTCATTCTCAGGGAGAACATTCATTTAAAACAGGAGATTGCTATTCTTAAAGAGAAACACAAGCACCAGCACAGACTACTGAACAAGGTGGGGTTGTAACCACACCTACTTTATAAATTGACTCCTCCCCTTTATTTAATAGATCATTCATTTCATTGTTCATTTATTGTATAAAGGAACACTACCAACTAAAAGAAGGTTAGAATATGATGAATTACATTTACAGACTTTTCATACACACAGACAGTACATGATATATACAAGTATGCATATACCCAAGGCTATAGCCCATGGTTTTTTCCAAAAAATGGCTCCAAAATTACCCCAAATTTTTATTACATTTTCTGATACATATTGATGCCCTTATGCTGTGTAGAAAGTTTGAGCTGATTCCAATTTCAATTTTTCAAGTTACGGCCATTTTAAGAAAACACCAAAATTCTGAAAAATACCCTATAGCCCATGGTTTTTTTCAAAAAATGGCTCCGAAATCACCCCAAATTTTTATTACATTTTCTGATACATATTAATGCCCTTATGCTGTGTAGCAAGTTTGAGCTGATTCCAACTTCAATTTTTCAAGTTACGGCTATTTTAAGAAAACAATAAAATTCGGAAAAATACCCAAGGCTATAGCCCATGGTTTTTTCCAAAAAATGGCTCCGAAATCACCCCAAATTTTTATTACATTTTCTGATAGATATTGATGTATAATTCTATTGTTTCTATTTTAGTCGCCTTATGTTAACTGATGTTGAGGATTCTTTATTGTCTCCACCCACTAAACGGATTTCATTGGACCCACCATCTCCCATTGGATATTCAGTTCAATCAGTAATACATTAATTCATAATTTTTATTATTTAATTATTTATTATTCATAGCCTTTGGCCCCTCCCCTTCCAATTAATTCTCTTCCATCTTCATCATCAGTAATACCACCTGGTAAATAATGTTATACATGTAAATATACATGTAAATGTGATACAGTGTAGCCTTTATGATCAGTAACAAATTGTTCCTTATATTACTGAATAGTGAATACTGAAAGCAATAGCTATATATAGATAATTGTATTCTTTTTAAAAAAGTTGATTTTGTGGGCAATTGTTCGTGTACATGTACAACTATTTGATGTATTTTATCTATAATGCCAATCACAATATTATATTGCAATTATTAGAGCTGAAACAGATATCCTGATTATCCGGATATCCGTTTATAAATTTAGTATCCGGATAGTAATTTTTGACAAATAGGATAATTAAACTTAATAACTAGACTTTATAACTAATTAATGCAATTCTGTCAGTTAATGACCAGCAATAAAAGAGTAAGTTCTTGAAGCTACCAACCTTGTCAGCCACTTCTTAATCATTTTTGAGCTTCTTAACTACCAGAAATGTACAAGAATAACATCCTGGGGAATAAAAACTTTGCTTTTTTGATGTCTGCAGTCACTAACTAATTAACTTTTATTAATTAACTATCCGGCAAATATCCGAAAGAAATTTCAACAGGATATCCGGATAGTGAAATACCACATCCGTTTCAGCTCTAGCAATTATGATGTTTTAATTATAAGTACATGAGAAATAATTTCTCTTAGTGTCTTCTCGTGTTGATGATCCTCTTCCTCCCTCTGATGGTGTTGGTGGGGCAGTTGGTGACGGAGACTTTCTGGAGGAACTCCTAACATCCTCGCTACCTCCTAGTTCCTATTCCAATACTTTGGTACCAGTGTCTCAGTCTCAGCCCATTGATGTGCAGTCCATTCTGGAACCACAACTGGAAACAAACCCAGAAAGGTAGCTTAAAATTATGCTGGATTGTCCATTGTAATTTTTTAAAAATTTTCTAGTGCCCTATCTCTAGCCCTACAGAAACAGCATGATGAGATAGAGAGTCTGAAGTCACAAGTTCCTGACCAACTGAGCATTGACCCACTCATACTAACTGAAGTACATTAACCACTGTTATCATATTGTACATATTGTCTCATTGCATTAACTGCATGTTTGTTTGTTCTCTTCTCTGCAGTTCATCAATAGTTCTGAGTTCCTCCCTGACTATGATTTCATAGATACTGCAGTGAGCTCTTTATTTCCTTGTATACCTCTACTCTCTTCCTCTCTCTCTCTCTCTCTCTCTCCCCCTCTCTCTCTCTCCAGCGATTGTTAGAGTCAGTCTCCTCTGAGTCAGAGATGGTCCCTAACGAAGAGATGATACAAAATGCACTCATACCGTACAATCCCGTGAACCAGCAATAAATAATAATTAATAATTATGATAATTAATGCTAAAATACTAATGAACACAATACATTGTTGCACTGTACAGTTTTAATAAAATGAAAGTTCACAAAACTGTCGCTACCTAATGACAATAATAATAATATCAACTGCACTACAATATAAAGTTGAGGGTCCATTTTCCGTATTTTGAAGATGCGCTCATCTTTTAATAACCTTTAAAAACAATAATAATAATTAATATACAATATATGTACTTACACGAGTAGCAGAATCCGAAATAAGAGTAATAATTATCTAAAAAACATTATTAATTAATTACCTATACTGTGTGTGCAGTATCTTACTGTACTGAGCACTGCAGCTGCAGTAGTAGCAACGCTGCCATTTACGGCTCCTTCCATAACCTGAAATGATACAATGTTCATCATAATATACAGTTAATAACTGGAATGAAACTCCATGTTTTTAAAGTACAGGTATTTATTATTATACTAATCCATGTGACTGTATGAACTATAAATTGAACTTACATCTGTAACATGATGAAGTATATGACATTCCTATAGAAAAGAACAATATTTAAAACAACAACTATATAACTATGATCATAGATGGATACTACAGTATCATAGTAAGTATCAAATCAAAGCAGCAATAATTCATGATGGTATGATTAAGTATATATTCTTACCATGGCTCCCACGTGGTTTGCTGCAGATGCAATAGTGACAGGTGTAGTACCTGCGGCCTTGAGCATGTGCATCTAAAGATAGAGACAATAGCGATTATTATACTGATATAGTTGCTGTCTGTTGTATTTACTTGCAATATTCACTGGGTGAGGTTTGTCACTGCTTAAGTGCTGGCTTCCATCTGGCTCTAAAAAGAGAATATTATATTAACATGCCCTACATGAACATCACATAAACATAACTATTATGTTTATGTGATGTTCATGTAGGGCATTTGCAATTTCAAATAACAGTATCTTGAAGATGGCTGCATATTAATAGATCTAGTAATAGTTTCTTTATACCTTCCATTGCTTCTTTTTCAAGGCCATCTCCTCCTGGATTATCCTCTCTGTTTAGTTCCTGTTCAAAGACATCACCTAAACACAAATAAGATTAAGCATTCTCTGCAATATAAGGAAGGGCTCATGAATGCTGCAGTCTATATTATGAAAGCAGCTAAACTATCTATACATACTTTGTTTTGGATCCTGGGCATTGGCTCCTGCAGCAATCAGTACAAGGAAGATTGCTACAATAGCAAAATAGACTTTCATTTTCCAATCAAGAGAATTATTGATTGATGAATCCTTTGCAATGATGGATAAATGGTACCACAGGCACCAGTCTTCATTTATTTATATACCTGCAAAACATACAATAATAGATTATCTGCAACATCTACAATTAAAGGTTACAATTCTTTCTTTGACAAACAATGTCTTTTTCCTCATAAACATTTATTTAAGATGAAGCAAAATATTATTTTTAAGATCTAAAAACATTGCTGGAAATCCGAAAAAGGGTGGGGCTGAATGAAGACCTTAAATTTAATGATTATTTTCATTTCCTTTAAAAACATGGCGAATGACGACTTATATCTAACTATTAGCAGGGCCCTAAGCTATTCTGTCATTGTGTTGAGTCTGTTAGCTAAACTACCTCAAGTATGGAGGACTTATTCTGCTAAGAGTAGCCGTGGAATGAGCACTAGAGGTCAATGGCTCGAGCTAATAGCGTGAGTTTACTATCTATTTATGAACAAACTGTATGTACATGTACATGTAGGAGCCTGCACAGTTAAGGCTAAGTTCTGTTTTTTAATGTCCATAACTACAAAAATTGAAGTAGAAACATGCTCAAACTTTCTACACAGCATAAGTACATCAATAATGTATCAGAAAATGTAATAAAAATTTGGGGGGATTTTGGAGCCATTTTTTGGAAAAAACCATGGGCTATAGCCTTGGGTATTTTTCAGAATTTTAGTGTTTTCTTAAAATGGCTGTAACTTGAAAAATTCATGTCGGAATCACCTCAAACTTTCTACACAGCATAAGGGCATCAATATGTATCAGAAAATGTAATTAAAATGTGGGGTGATTTTGGAGCCATTTTTTGGAAAAAACCATGGGCTATAGCCTTGGGTATTTTTCAGAATTTTGGCGTTTTCTTAAAATGGCCATAATTTGAAAAATTGAAGTCGGAATCACCTCAAACTTTCTACACAACATAAGGACATCAATGTGTATCAGAAAATGTAATAAAAATTTGGGGTGATTTCGGAGCCATTTTTTGGAAAAAACCGTGGGCTATAGCCTTGGGTATTTTTCAGAATTTTGGTGTTTTCTTAAAATGGCCATAACTTGAAAAATTCATGTTGGAATCAGCTCAAACTTTCTACACAGCATAAGGGCATCAATATGTATCAGAAAATGTAATAAAAATTGGGGGTGATTTCGGAGCCATTTTTTGAAAAAAACCATGGGCTATAGCCTTGGGTATTTTTCAGAATTTTGGCATTTTCTTAAAATGGCCGTAACTTGAAAAATTGAAGTCGGAATCAGCTCAAACCTTTCTACACAGCATAAGGACATCAATATGTATCAAAAAATGTAATAAAAATGTGGGGTGATTTCGGAGCCATTTTTTGAAAAAAACCATGGGCATTTGTAGAATTTTGGTGTTTTTTAAATGGCTGCAGTACTTAATTTTTCCATTTATTATTAGGTATCAAATTGGTATTTCTTATGCTTATTATTATGGATATCACATCACTACATATCTTGATGTTATAGTCTGTGCCACACAGTGTAAGTCTTTAAGACATCAGTAAAAATAATTAATATCATTCCTTTAGCTTCTCTAATATTAATAATGATCCTGTACTACAATAATCAATTTAATTTTGAGAATATACTTCTTATAGCACTGTAAGTGTTAGCCCCTGTTATCATCATTATTCTTAATATTTTTAGATTTTTTTTATTTATTATTTTATCTCTGTTGCTTCTCATTCCTCCATCCCTCCTATACATTTTTGTGGTAAGTAATAATGAAATTTATTAAATTTTGTGGACAGTTAGGATACCTTAATAATGAGGACACCTTTATAATGAGGACATTTTGTAATGTCCCAATTGGTACAAACCTATACAAAAGTACCTCTGAAATGAGAACACCTCTGTATTAAGGACAGGTAGTGTGGGCCCAATGGTGTCCTTAATAAAGAGGCTACACTGTACATTAAATATTCAAGTATTTTTTGTCTTAATAGTTGAGTGGTATACCAGTCAGTGCTGGGAGCAAGTTACTTCAAATCTATTCTCTTTATAAAAGCAAGAATTCTGCTGATGTAAGCACTGCTACCTGGACTATTGTTACATACTGCTGCATGGGTAAGATGATCAAGTATTTTCTTATTTTCATGACTGTCATTTCTCTCTCTCTCAGCTAGAGTTTATTCTCTTTCAATTGAAATCAGTGGAGAATATGCTATTATTTACAATTATGCTATATCTGCCTTACTTAACTCAATCATTGTCTTCCAATGCTTTCTTTACAGTCAAAAGAAAACTAAACAATTTTAGACCCAACACTTCAACTTGAACGCACGTGGTTGACGTATACGGAGTAGGTAAACGATTAAATACGATGCGTGGGTGTTAAATGCCCAGCCCCACCCTTTCTCTGCTGAAAATGGCAAGCGCTTATCACGAAGAGTCGGATTTTCAGCTTGAAACTGGCCTAGATTTATTGGATATTCTGTCTCCTCAGTCTACTGCAGTTGTTCTTGATATAGGATGTGGTACTGGTCGACTCTCTAAGATACTTTCTGATAGACTGGTTGATGGTAGAGTGGTTGGAGTTGATCCTGATGAAGAGAGGATAAAGATAGCAATGGATGAAGGAAAGGGACGCACTAATCTACAGTTTATGGTAGGATCAGATCAAACCTTCCCTGAGGATCAATACGATATTGTTTTTTCAAATGTTGTCATTCACTGGATTAAAGATAAAAGAGAAACGTTTAAGAAAGTTTACGCTAATCTCAAACCAGGAGGGAAATTTGGTTTTACAACAAGTGCAAAAGGTGATTCAGCTGCACTGCCTCAATTAATGGTAGAAGTACTTCAGTGCTGCAAGCCAGAAGGTGGTATACAACTTGATCCTACTTACTATGAAACTGTTGAAGATTACAGATCAATGGCTCTTGAAGCAGGATTTCAAGTCTCTCTTGCAGAAATAAAAGATATCAATTATGTGTTTAAAAGCATTGATTCCTATATTAATTTCTTCTATGGTGTGTTCAAGGGTCAGTTTGATCGCCAGCATCCATCATTGCTTGAATGGAAGAAGAATTACGAAGGAAAGACTATACCGTTTGATGTGAAGTGCCTGACGATAGTACTCACTAAGCCACAATAGACATACTGTACTTTTATGATTTATTTAAGCATAAAACATTAAATTTTAAGCATGTCTTTAAAAGTCATGTGTAACAATTTGATGCCTCAAGTTTATTTTTGCTCCTCCTCCTCCACTTTTTCCTATAAAAATAAATTATGATTCATAAGTAAGTATATAATTATTTTAACTCACTCCTTCTCTTGTTGGTGGCCTTGTTTTAGACTATAGCAATGAATAAAAATTATTAAAAATAATATATTTAAGTACATACCTTTTCTGTTCTATGCCTTGGTCTTGGTAGCTCGGGATATGATGATATCATTTCAGTTAGTTCTGCATTCCTCCTCCATGACTCCACATGATCATCAACTCTATAGACTGGCTTGACTTGCTGTATCCTTTTTAACAAAGACTGCATGTGGCAGCAAATGATGAAAATGTGTTTTATGATGATTTTACAAACAAACCTCGTTTTCTTTCTGTACTCTTTCCATCTCTCTTTCTCTCCTCTCCTCATTTAAGCTAAAAGAGGAGGAAGGACATGTGAATTGTTATGTTGTTGTGTGTTTCATTAGTGACAATTAGTGATAATTGCGGTATGTCCTATTATTATTAGGTGTGAATCATACTGCTGACCTGTGATGTCTGTAGCTGTTACGATGGTCAATCCCTTTGCTTGAAGAGGAAGACATTATGTGGTTCATCTTTCTTAATAGAGTCAGGTTGTCTCTTTCAATGATTTCTTTTCTTTCTGCTTCAAGCTATTGAATTGATCAGTAGCTATAGTTAAACAGAGAGATTGCAGGCTCACTTGTTTCTTCTTCTGCTTTTCCACGACATGAGAATGAACTGCAGGTGATTTTGTATCAACCATAGGTCGCATTGCCCTAACCTACAGCCAGTACAAGGTAACTTAAGCACACCATGAATGGCTGTTTACCCTTCTCCTGTGTTCCTCATAGTAGCTAGTGTCCCATTGCTTCTTTAATAGCTTGTTGCTACATGGCAAGATTGACTGATAGTTCTTATGGCTCATCCTTCCCCTCCTAGTTGCTTCTCTTCCTCTAAACCTCTTTTTGGTACAATCTAGTTTTTTTCCCAGACTAGCCAGCTAAGCTCGCGGGAGCTGATAAATTGTTACCATGACGACCCAGCAACGCCCACGCGGCAACCGCTCCATTCAAAAGCTGTAGAGACAGCTAAAGCTGTCATTTGCACCTCTTCCACCAACTGCTCCTCTACAATCCTTAATAATGGCATATAGGTCACTTACACCTGCAAATAACATGTTCCTCAAAAGAAAGTGGGACCAAGTTCGATATGAGACCCACAGAGATAAGGTAGATCATTGAACTATGATAATAGTTAACATCAGTTATGCATATCTACCAAACAAATTCATCTATTGCAAAATTCTTGTTTGTGTTGATAGATTATGAATGCAAAGTCAGTCATTGATAATAGAATGCCAGCAATGTATCTCAATGCTCCGTCGAATTTAAAGAAACTTCAAATGGAGGCAGAGAGGCAGGCAAGAATAGACAGAGAGAATAGGATTTTACTGGGCAAGATCACTAACATAATAAACAAGAGAAATGAAGAAATGTTAAAGTTCTGTAGATCATACAGACCCAAAAGGTATATGTAGTACATAGCTTGATATTTTTATATTTTCTCATTAGCCTTAACAGGAATCAGAGAGAGTTGAACCTGCTTAGAATAGCGTATGAGAATCAAATCATAGCTAAGCGTATAAGAGAGAAACAGTCGCATTACAGCAGGGAGGAGTGGCTGAAGCAATGGTGTACCAATAGACAGTACATGGCCAATGTATCCAAGTATCCAAGAGCATCTATTAGTTCTTTGGATTATGAGAAAGATGAAAAGTAAGTATAAGAATCATTGTCCTGTATGAAATAGATGGGACATGCTTAGTACCAAAAATTTTATGTTCTGTCTTTTTTGCAGGAGTGATAAAATTAAGAAGAGGACAAGCACCTCATCAAAAGAATCATCATAATGACTCTCTGATAGTTTCAATCAAAGCTATAATTCTATTTGAAATTAATGAATTAATTATTATTCATGTTGTTGTTGATGTGTCATGAGGTCTCCAGGGCTACTGAAAGCCAATTCATAAAAAGCTCCTACACAACTTTACCTACTCATAGAGCAGCAATACAGGATGATAAAGAGGGGGAAACCAGTGGTGTACTATCACTCTGTAACCCCAGCAGCAAACTTGTTCTTGCAGAAGAAATGGGACGAGAAAATGTATGACATTCACCGTCGAAATGTGAGTTTATTGACGAGAAAAGAAGCCAACCCAGCTACTTTTGTGCAATTAAAAGCATTCACAAATATCAGTGTGAATTGAATACACAGCTGGGTTGCATTGCTATTAAGTGAGGGGTTTTTAATAGATCTATTCAATGCTTATAATAATAGATATAAAAATATAAAATAATTAAATGCTTTATTTAAACTTTTAGGTAATGAGTGCAAAGGCTAGGATCGACAACAGACTTTCTGATTTTCACATTAAATTTAATTTTCACCTCAAAGATATTCGTAAACAATCCGAGAAGCGCAGACAAGAAGAGATTGCCAAACTGAATCAAGAAATGCTTCGCAACATTTTGAACGTCAAAGGACAAATCTCTCGTTTCATTGGGACCAACCCACCAGTAACACAAAAGACCAGGTCAAAAAGGTAATAACTGGTAATAGTTATTGATTTCACCACAGCAGGGCCTTCTTATTCTACTATGCACATAATATAACTATAAGGAACAGTAGCAGTAATGCTCTGTCATGCAGTATATACACACATTAAGCATTAGAGTTTGTCATTTTTGTCAGTTTAAACTTTAGTTTTTTTTCAGTGCCACTGTAAGATCAACTAAAGATGGTAATGGTAGGACTACCACTACCACAAAGCAGTCAAGATTAATCATAAGGCCACAGACTGCACCACTGCAACTAAGGAAATGCAAAGTCAAGGTAATTATTAGTATTATCATTATTATCATCATTATAGTTATGGTAAAATTTCTTAGACGAATCCTCCATGGTATTGATGAACATTGTTGAAATGACACAGATCAAACTGTATTGAAATTATTATTATTATCATTATTCATTTGCAAAAGTATAATATGAAGCAAGGCTACAATGAGAAGCGCTTAAGTATAAATGCTGACGCAATAAGAATGTACCATCATTCATTGGCTGCAACAAATTTTACCGCATGGACATGTATTGTGGTATAAGCAATAAAGTTTAAGTTATCAACAAAAATTATAATAGCCACATTAATAATCAGCATACATTAAAGGAGTTCAAACAGGTTTCGTCATAACTACAAATAACCGTTGCATTGTCCAGGATATGGCCTGACCTCCATACCTTTCCTTGATTCCAATCAGATTAGGATCAGTCCGATCAAACATTCCATGATAGACGCTGTAATAGAAATCAACAAACGCATCAATGCTAGGCAGAGTGTATTCCACATCCCTAGCATCAAAATAGAGGACACTGAACCCAACTTGACTGGCCAATTGCTTGTAGTAGTTACCATCCTCATAGTGTGTCGAATTCATCACTGCATCAAAGGCCTGGGTTCCACACAATTGGGCTATTTCTATTACTATATCTGGGATGCCATTAGCCAGTGTAGTAAAGCCAAACTTTCCTCCAGGCTTAAGATTAGCATAAACTTGATTAAAAGTTTCACTTTTATTTTTGATCCAATGAATAGCATCAGTGCATATTACCATATCGTATTGATCCTCAGGGAAGGTTTGATCAGATCCTACCATAAACTGTAGATTAGTGCGTCCCTTTCCTTCATCCATTGCTATCTTTATCCTCTCTTCATCAGGATCAACTCCAACCACTCTACCATCAACCAGTCTATCAGAAAGTATCTTAGAGAGTCGACCAGTACCACATCCTATATCAAGAACAACTCCATTAGACTGAGGAGACAGAATATCCAGTAGCTTGAGGCCATCTTTGTATTGAAACTTTGAGATTTCATGATAAACCCTTGCTTCTTCCTTATCCATGATTGATCTACTATACAATTGGAAGAGAAGCAACCAGGAGCCTTTATATAGCAATGGTACATCTCACCGGATACAATTTCAGAGAACTGTTGACTTGAAATGAGCTATGAGATCATTCTGCAATATCTTAACGTGACTACATCAATATAATAACACAAAATAATTATTATGTACACTGTGCCACCTCTGGCACCATTATGCTGACATTTATAAACTACTTCATGATGTGGTGAGTATGATATCAGTTAACAGTGATTCATAAGTATAATTACCAGAGACTATTGGGCCAGTGATTAGAGTACAATGTAGTGGCATGCTTAATGCACTGTGTCATTATTTTTAAATGGGCAATTTAAGCTTGAATGCACATGTATTTGGTTTCAGCACATCAATTGCATGTATATGTGCCTGTATCAGAAAAACTGTACAGTAGCTTTAGGACACCTTTATAAAGAGACTACACTGTACATGTATTAAGGACAGGTAGTGTGGGCCCAATGGTGTCCTTAATAAAGAGGCTACACTGTACATGTATTAAGGACAGGTAGTGTGGGCCCAATGGTGTCCTTAATAAAGAGGCTACACTGTACATGTATTAAGGACAGGTAGTGTGGGCCCAATGGTGTCCTTAATAAAGAGACTACACTGTACATGTATTAAGGACAGGCAGTGTGGGCCCAATGGTGTCCTTAATAAAGAGGCTACACTGTACATGTATTAAGGACAGTCAGTGTGGGCCCAATGGTGTCCTTAATAAAGAGGCTACACTGTACATGTATTAAGGACAGGCAGTGTGGGCCCAATAGTGTCCTTAATAAAGAGGCTACACTGTACATGTATTAAGGACAGGTAGTGTGGGCCCAATGGTGTCCTTAATAAAGAGGCTACACTGTACATGTATTAAGGACAGGTAGTGTGGGCCCAATGGTGTCCTTAATAAAGAGGCTACACTGTACATGTATTAAGGACAGGTAGTGTGGGCCCAATGGTGTCCTTAATAAAGAGGCTACACTGTACATGTATTAAGGACAGATAGTGTGGGCCCAATGGTGTCCTTAATAAAGAGGCTAAACCACTTTATAACGATAAACTGCTATCGCCTTATCAGGACTAAGGCTTTACCAAGAACATTGAAGTTGATTTAAGAGTGTGAGATCATAATAATGAAGCCTAACATTCCAGAGGCACCATGTCTACAAAGCAGTTACTATAATTATTAAACAATCAATTCCTATTAAATAATATCATAGCTCAACTGACAATAAAATATAATATTAATCACTGGAAAATGTATATCAGAGTACATATAGATCTATATCTATTCAAATAGAAATTACTGTTTATTATTATTATTATTATTTTATTATTTTATTATTATGGTATGTTAAAAATTAGAACACTTTTCAATTTTAAATTGCATAATAATAATTATTATTATTACTTTATTATTGTTTTATTATTGTTTTATTATTATTATTATTATTATTAATGTAAACAGTTTAATTTATTAATTAATGCTATCATTTAAACATCAGGAGCCCAGGTAACAGAACGACTCTAAAATAAACTAAAAATAAAAACGCTTTCTACTGCAATGAAAAGCTCACTCCTCTAGCTCCTCCTCCTTCCAAATGAGCTCTTGTCTTCATCGAGGTACCAACCGATACCTTTTCAATGCACTGTGCCAGGAACTGGGTCTGGAAACCAATGGACTTAGTACGATCAATAACACGCTGGTATATGGACTGGGGCTGTGGACTCATTACCACGTGACCCTGAGGGGTAGAGAGAGAGGGGGAGAGAGAGAGAGAGAGAGAGAGGGAGGGAGAGAGAGAGAGAGAGAGGGAGAGAGAGAGGGAGAGAGAGAGAGAGAGGGTGGCAGTGTGTTAAATACACTGTATTAATGTCACTTGCTTTCTTGGCATCAATTTTAGCGTCCAGTCTTGCCTCTCGTATTAAATTCACAATCCATCTTTCAGCATCATCGGGTGACTTATTTAATTTAGTAGCTAACATACTACAAAAATAACAACAACAATCATTATTATTATTATTATTATTATTATTATTATACGTTAATAATAATCTCGTACTTGATCCCAATGCATTGATGGATGCGACAGAATGTCTCAAATATCATCTGCTGGGCACTGTCCATAAACTCATCCTTACAAGCAACAAGAAAGAAATCATTACTGAGGACCTAAGGAGAGCATAAGGACATCAATATGCATCAGAAAATGTAATAAAAATTTGGGGTCATTTCAGAGCCATTTTTTGGAAAAAACCATGGGCTATAGCCTTGGGTATTTTTCAGATTTTTATCATTTTCTTAAAATGGCCGTAACTCAAAAAATTGAAGTCGGAATCAGCTCAAACTTTCTACACAGCATAAGGACATCAATATGTATCAGAAAATGTAATAAAAATTTGGGGTGATTCCGGAGCCGGTTTTTGGAAAAAATTCATGGGCTATAGCCTTGGGTATTTTTCAGATTTTTATCATTTTCTTAAAATGGCCGTAACTCAAAAAATTGAAGCC